CATCTTTATATACCGGAACTCTCATCCAATCAATCCACTGTTATCGGGTGCCCTTCTCTCGCGAAGCCGACGACATAGGCCCGAAGTGCTTGGGCGACAAACTCGAGGGATGAAAGAACCTCCTCTATGCCCCACATATCCGTTAGACCGGAAAGTGGTAATCGATGGAACAATTTGGAAGTTAGAATACATAGTCCATCTATCTCCTATAACAGAGAAGTGTAAATGTAGACAGAGCCAATGGAAAGTTCACTTGCCGGATGCCCAAAATTTTGGCCATGAGCCCCTGGTACCAGCCCTAACACATATTTGTAAGTCGCATCATCCCCAAAAGTATAAAGCCAAAACAAATCGTACCTAACTCAGCTGTAGCGTTCGCGCCTTTTAAAAACGTCTTCAGAACTTCCAATTAATGACACCCGTACCCCAGATCTACTATTAGTCCAGGACAAAAAGACCTTCTAGAGCGTGGTTTAGAAGTTGGCGACAAGAATACATGCTGACCTCCGGTGCTTTCACCAAAGTAATGATGAATGCGAAACTCCTTGGAAGCTTCATCGTGAGATGCAACTAGATTAAATGGCGAATAATCTATACCTCCCTATTTAGAAACTTAACGTTGGGTTCTGATGCTACTAAAAAGTATCTTTTAAAACATCCAACCGAGCTGTTTTGTGTCTTTAATGAATATGAATCTTTCAGAGATTATAAAACTTTGAAATGAATTAAATCTTTAGACAATACGAGTTTTTCGAATGATGTGTAACTTTCAATGATATACTCAAATCCTTCAGGTGATTTCAAACTTCGAGAACCAAACCTTACTAAAAGAAATCTCAGATAGACGATCATATCTTACACCCAATATTAAACCTCTTGATTCAGTGACTCAGAGTATATTCACTGTAATAGAAATATATAAAATCCAAAGACCATGTTACGACGGCTATCATCAAACGCCGCGTCACATGACTAACTTAGGGTAACGTGACCTTAAGTCACGTTACGGGCCGCTGAGAAGCGCTGGCGGTCCTGACTAGCCATAGGTACGAAGGTCTATATAATCAAGATGGATTTCCTTTATATAGAGCTTCATACTCAAGATCAATCATTTAGTATACTCTATTATTAGTTACGAATTGTATATCATTATTGTCATTACTTAAGTCCCTGCTTGACGCCTAGTTATAAACCACCTCGAGAGCCTAGAGCACTTCCACGTGATCTAGACGGCAAACCTCGTAACAGACCACTTACTAAATCAACTATTTGTAACGATACTGTACTGGAGGCAGCGGCTGCCTAAGGTTTTGTCGGGTTGGTAGTTGTGGGTTAAGGCTTTATCATTGGTATTCACTTGGAAGTGAAGTCGTTACTAGATCAAGTAGAATGTCGGTAAACTAATTGATAACTAAGTTGAGCACGAAGCTCCCTAAACTATGAAACCATTCTAACTATATACTAATCGTTTCCCTGAATGCTAACTGTGCTAGCTGGCTAGCAGAGCTATCACGTCACGTGATCTTCTTATTGGCCTCAGGACACTAATCCTGGGACGATTCTCATCCTGGGATAATATAGCTCCTAGGATAATTGTCTTGGGACAAATATTATCCTAGGACACTTGTCCTATGCCTTCATGGTTGCCTAATCGTTTTGTCCTAGGACAAGTGTCCTAGAATAAAATGTGTCCCAGGACAATTGTCCTAGGAGCTATATTATCCCAGGAGACGAACTGTCCCAGGATTAGTGTCCTGAGGCAAATCTAGGATCACGTGATGGAGCCTCTAGGAGCGTAGGCTCCCCAGGGCTCCAGGAAAGGAATCATTATATAGTCAGAATAGTTTCATAGTTTAGGGAGCTTCGTGCTCAACTTAGTTATCAATTAGTTTACCGACATTCTACTTGATCTAGTAACGACTTCACTTCCAAGTGAATACCAATGATAAAGCCTTAACCCACAACTACCAACCCGACAAAACCTTAGGCAGCCGCTGCCTCCAGTACAGTATCGTTACCAAGAGCTTCGCACTTCTGTAGAATAGAGACAATGTGTGATTCATATAAAAGCCCAATATAGCCTCAGTTCTGCCCTGTCAGCTTCCCACTATCCCCTGTATAAGGTCATTCCTTTTAACATTTTAAATATTATTAAAAAATTTTATTAATATTTTTATATTTTATAAAACTTATAATTTAAAACATTTGATTAAAAAAGTTATATAAATTATTTTATTTTTATATAAATAAGATTTTTTAAAAATATAATATTTAAATTTTTAATAATACTTCAAAATTTAATTGTTATATTTCAAAATTTAATTGATTTAATTCAATATTGGAAAAGTTATTTAATTTTATATGAGAAACTACGATTTTTGCAGGGATTCTGTCACGAATTCGAACAGTGTGCGGTGAGCAGATTCCAGAATTCTTACTATGTTGTACAATACACACATACCGAGGGTGCTTCTAGTTGATCAGGCGAGCATTCTTTCCCCTCCAGCGACTATTGTTTGGGTTTGGAAGAGTCTAGAATAACTAGTAGTATTCCCGAAGGCTCTTCAGGCTTAAGTTCTTATTTATGACTTACTTAATATGAGGCAGTTCAAATGCGACAATGTCTTTGACGAGGAAGCTCGAATCTTTCATACGAATATTTTAGATTGGCAATATCATCTCCCTTGAGTGCTTCTATTCATAGATTGTTAGGCACGACAAATTTCTTGTCGAAATCTTCCATCTGACAACAATCTAAGACAGAATAGTTAGTATTTTCTTATATGTTGACGCCCCCTGCTCAGTAGTCATTCCTGCGTAATGCCTACTGCACATCCTGGTTATCATTGTCTTTACTTGTATGCTTCCCATACATCTCACCACTTCCTTAAGTCAGCCGCTAGGAAACCCGCAGAAAATACCATGGTTGATCACAAACGCTCCGAGGATGCTGAGCTTCCTCATATAAAACTCGAAAACACCGCCAGAGACATAGCTGATATACCTTTCAATCATCTCCAAAACGTCGCTAATCCATTCAAGGCAGATTCTGGAGAAGAATCGGAGCTTGTCATAAAATGGGGCGAGACTATGGCTACAATGTGCGAGGTCAATCATCGTGGTCTCTATCTAATCATGTCATTTTACCATCAAATTGACCACCGCCGTCAACTTCTCAAGCTATCGGAATATAGTTCTGCATCCGACGTCCAATCATTACAGCCATTCATTCGAGGTCTTCCAGAATGCAAGACGTTAATGTCTCAAGCATTGGCATCATATCTGAACCAAGATCATCCCGAACCAGTTTTCAGATTAACAAAATGGATGCAATCAACCTTTGGGCAGAACTTCTACCCCCCACCTAAGTTCTTGAGGGTCTCCGGCTTTTCAGACAATATATGGCAATTTGCCGTCGTCAATCCACCAACAAAAATACAAGATCAGTTTGACGCAGCTGTCATGTTCCATGGCCAAACCTCCGTACGACGGCATGGTACCGCTATCAATACACTTCACTCCATCCTTCAAAATGGTTTCCTGACGGATAAAATCTGGACTGCAGGAATGCCGGGCGTCTCATGGCGATATGCTTTCAAGAAGGGCGCTCGCGAAGCACTTGAATCGGTTTGTCATCCACTATTCGATCATGGCGTATTATTAGGTCTCGAAGTTGCCGGGCCTCCAAATAAGAATATCGTCACCCGTCTACAGGTTGAAACTGACAGATAAATGGTGAGATGTATCTTCTTACTGCCTTCAAACACGCCGAAACCCAATGCTAGATGTTCAAGATATATAAATTTATCGATGGAGGCAGCATATAGGGAGTGGCCCAGCTCAGCGGAAGATTGACCGTAACGAATTTGAAGATGACGTGATGGTCGTTGCGATTCACAGTCACAGGCAGCGAACGTGCATGGAATAAACCTTGATGGTCTGAGATTCAGCTAGCAAATGACAAATGCTTCGTCTGATTTCACTAAAATAATAACATTAAGCTTAACGTGGTTTATCAGTGGGTCGGACACTTTTTCCTCGATTTATCACTTTAAAACCATATTATTCAATAACAATTGGATGAATCGATTGAAACTATTAAGAATCTAATAAACTAGCATCTATTGCATTATTTTGACAGGTTCTTGAATTATGACCAGTCTTTCCACATTTACTACAACATCAACTAATAGATAATTCCCCATTAGAATTTTCCTCATTTTGACACTTATTATATTGAATTTGATTATCAATGTTTTATTGTGATAATATATCTTCAGCTTCTTATTTAGTAAGTATTCCTCCATTATATAATTGAATTTTTTTAATGTATTGATGTTTACTTAATATCTCATTTGCTCTTCGAAGTATACGACTCTCAGCATTCAAAAATATAACTTCATATGCCAGTCTCTTTGTACTTTTAGTTAAAGCTTGCACAATCTCAAATATAAGTATAGGAGAGCTTAATTAATAACGAGCTATTCGAGCTTTTAGTAAAGTTAATTATAAAAAAGTCTTAATTGGATTATGAAGAGCTTGAGAGATCTAGAAGTTGATAAGTTCCAAAAAGGTAAATAAAGGGGTAGAAGTACGAATCCTAATATCCAGTTTTGAGAGTATAGATTGAGGATCAAATGGTATTAGACCTGCTCTTCGAAAACCAGCTTTTATATCCTGAATAATAATCGATTATTGATATACAACTTTGAAAGCTATATAGAATTCAATCTTAGAGATATAATTGATATGAGCCTTGATAAATCCTTCAATTTGACAACTATATGAATATTTAAGTACACTAAAACATCCAATATCAAATGACTGAGTTAAGTAACTTGAATACAATAGTAACTTTATATATATAATATCGTTTGACTTGCAATATGATTGGAAAGATATCGATTCGTGACTTTCATACCCATCCAATACTAATATTCGGGATGCGATGATTCAACACCTGTACGTGGTGCATCCTACGAACCTGTAATTTTTCTTACAGAGCCAAGATTGAATCAGGCTGAAGCTGGGCAAAGGTCGTGCTTTAAAAAGGAGCGGTACTGGGAGTGAAGGTATCGTGAATTTGGCCCGGAACAGAGGACTATCAGTCGAACGGAGATGAAAACTACCCGACAATCAACGAAACAACGACGGATTTCGAAGCGGAACCACCTTTACGAATCTGCAGTGGGATGCAGAGCCTGAGAATTGCTTTAAGGAGCATTTCAAAGCGGACTGCCTTTACGAATCTGTGTGGGAGCAGAGCCTGAGAAGGAAAGCGTTGTGCCGGTGATTGACAGGGCACCTCTGGGGCGCTAGCGTGCAGAATTTTCACAACCCAACAATGCGTACAATCTGCGGGTATACCGGATTGGAAGTTTACAGGTGGTTAAGGGGAGTAATCGAGAATGTATAAAGGTTGTGGTAGAGTCTTATTGAGGCCAACGGAGGTATGGGTGGATTAGGGATGGAGGGACGCTTTTGGCACTTTGCTCTACGAATGTACAAGAGCGGTATCATGGCGGCAGAGGAACTCTCGAACGAGGGGGATGCTTTTAGCAAGATTCACTCTTCTGCGAAGCATTCGGCAGACATCACGGCAGCGGATGAGCTCTGGCAGAAGCTACCTTATGAGACATATATCCGATACGTTCTCAACCCTCCGCATTATCGATTACAAACTATACATTGGGGGAATGGACTTTGCAGGCTGTGCTTTGGTTAGTGAGCTGGAAACGTTGTATTTTTAGTTGCCTGGCTAGGGGTTAAGACACAGCAAAGCTTGCAAGATACGGTCGGCCTTGTTGTGTAGGAGAGATCCGGCAAGGTAACGCGAAACGGTGCACAAGCCGCGGGGCGTAGCGTATAATGGCAGCGACAGTGACACTGTCTATACGGCTCGAGAGGACGGATGCGCGTATCGGTCTACAATAGGGTACAAGGCAGCTGGCAATGGAGATACCGGGTAGGCTTAGGGAGCAAACAGGATAATAGGTGTAGAAAGGTTGTTTTTGCCTGGGGGCAACCTTCTCAAAGGATATTGAGACTGACATCTTGTATCTGGGAAAGCATGGTAAGAATTGGTTACTCTTACTTATATTTGTAGTCTCACTGGATATATTATAAAAGACTCATAGATTTGCAAATATAATATTGTCACTGCTGAAAAAGGCCTTAGTCCCAAGGCAATGAGACAGCTCTATATGGCATGCGTCACCAGCATAGCTGACTACGGTTCAATTTTATGGTGGAAAGGGCAAAACCAATTCAAGAAAATCCTTCAATCCTTGCAAAACCTCGCCCTTCGAAAAATCCTAGGAGTATTCAAAACCTCACCAATAAAACCAATGGAAATAGAAGCCGCATTGTGCCCTCCAGAAGTAAGGCTAAATGCTGGAATCAAACAATACGCCTTCAGATTATTGAAAATCCCCCCTTCTCATCCTGTCAATTTAATAGCTACAAAGCTGGCTACAGAAAAGGAAAATCAAGATGTAGTTGCAACCCCTCAAAGAAAGCAATTAAAACCTACTCAACTCGAAAAGATCAAAAACTCAATCCAGAAAGACTTCGATCCCCTCACTTTGGAAAGAATTCATCATTTCTACTTCCCTCCTTGGAAGAAGGAAGTTCCATATAGAGTCAATATCAGCAAATTAGGAAAAGAAGAAGCTGCGATGATCCACAATCTGGCTTTCAAATATAGATGCAAAAATACCATTACCATATACACTGATGCCTCATCCACTCTAGAGGGAATAGGGGTTGGGATCGGGATAGTAGTCATCTTACCAAATGGCCGAAACTCATATCAAGAGACTATCAATATAGGCGTGAATCAGCTTGTCTATAACGGTGAGCTTCTAGGAGTTACTAAAGCGATCGAATACGCAAATTCAATAGCTCAACCAGGAAACAAGTTCAAGATATACTCAGATAATCAAGCAGGATTATTCCGGCTGAAAACCCCCTCCGATTCACCTGGTCAATCATGCCAAATCAAAGCTATAAAAGCTGCGGAAGCTATTCAAAATAAAGGAGCCGAAATCTCTCTCAATTGGGTCCCCGGACATACATCTGTACAAGGAAATGAGCTAGCTGATTCTCTTGCAAAAGAGGCGACCAAAATACCATCCTCATCTCACGAAACCAGTTATGCCTCCATTGGAATGGATATAAAAAGAATGAAATCAGAGAACTGGATAGCCATCCTTAACACTAACAACTTTCATCAACCATCGTCAACATATTCAAGAAACTACCCCTGGAAGATCAGCTCAAAAATTCAGAATTCCAGGAAACATCAAAAGAAGCACAATCTGTGCTCTGTTCCAACTCAAAATTGGACACGGATACTTCAAATCTTATTTGAAACGATTCGGTATCTCCTCTAATGACAATTGTAGATGTGGGGGAAAGGAATCTCCTGATCATCTTCTGCTCAGTTGTCCTTTATATAAAATGGCAAGGAAAACCCTCAATAAGGATAACCCCATAGTCCGACCTACTATGAAATATCTGCTTCATACTAAAGCAGGAATCATCAAGACCCTCGAATTTATCGAGGCAACGAGAATAGCCACCAGATCATGGCATCTCAATAGAATGCATGAAGAAGAAGAGGAAGAAGGCGGAGAAGAAGGGGGTGGACCGGAAGATTGTGATTGAATTGATCAATTATGGCCAATTTGGTCAATTTGGTCAATTTGGTCAATTTGGTCATTTTGGTCAATTTGGTCAATTTGGTCAACTTGGTCAATTTGGTCAATTTGGGCAATCACCCCAATGTCAAATTTCATTACATTTCATTTGTTATTCCTCTTACTTGAATACGAGAGTATCTGTAAGGCGGGCTTGGTTCCCTAGTATTAGTTTTCACTTCCCCCATTCAAACATTAGAAGATTGAGGCTTTCAATCTCCCCAACCTGTATTAGCTACGGTCGAATAAGGCCAGCCACCCTCCATTTACTATTTTTAGAAGCCTACAAAGCTCCTAGCCGTCTTAGATAGTCATAGACTCAGTGTAGACGTTAATTTAATCAATCAATCAATCAATCAATACTAATATTCGATATTTGCCCTTTCTTTATTGATTAATATGCTTATCGAAGTGCTTTAATATTGGGTTTCTTGAGACCAGAAAGAGCATCAGATTGAATTGATTGATTCTCTAGCTAAGCAGTTAAGCTGCGAGTATATATTCAAAAAAAAATGAAGGAATAAGGTTAGGTATTCAGCCTTCGGAATTAAAGTGCTTTGAAATCCAAATATTGAAAGCAAACAAACAGTATACCAAAAAGGAAAGAATGAATTAAAAGTTGAGTTTTGTTTGCTCCTTATATGCATATGCTGTCAAGATCCTAGGAGGTCAACATTTAACCATTCTAAACCTATCTCATAATTCGTCTATCCATTAGAAATAGATTTAATAGCCTAATCTACAGGAAAATCATTCTCTATATATCAATTAGAAAGGTAATATTGTTCTTGTATCACTAAAAATGATAATATAGTTTCACTCTCTTCATTACCACATATAATCGCTGTAGCCCACTCTCGATTGCCTGATTATATTGCCTCGCTTCTACCACTTCGTTCAGCACTAGTTACAACTATTCCGGAGCATATTATACCTATCATAAAGCCTGTTTCATCGAAATTATAGAAATCGCAATCCTGAATCCTATATTTTATCTATATATTCGATATCAATCGAAACCACTTTTCAATAAACTCTGGATCTTCACAAAGAGCTCTTTGAAAATCATAAATACAATTAAAACATATCTTTAATTCTAAACATCGTTTTATAAAGCAATAAGCCTAAAGCTTTTCAATCTTCTTCGCATCCTATATTTCGAGCATATAATTTGCTATATCTTCTATACTATTTAATGTAAAGGCAAATCCTTTATTATCTATATCAATAATATATTGAATAAGCATCTCCTCTTCTAATTCAATCAAATTATGACTTTTTGGTCGACTTTCAGCTATATTACTACGATCTTGAATTCTGTTGAATAATGTAGATCGAGGTATATTATAGTAATTAGCAGTCTTTCGAATTATTAATCTTTTGTTCAATTCAATAACCTCAATAACCAAGATTATTCATGCTTCTTTTGAATGAATTTCTATTAATAACTATTGAATAAACGTGTATTGAAGTGAGAGAGTAAAGGATATTGAAAAACTGTCCGACCCACTGATATGTCCGACCCACTGATAAACCACGTTACCTGTTTTCCAAAATTCATGATGTAATTGCTCAAGGAGAGGATAACTTAGATTTGACTTGCTTGGCACAGTCCTCAAATAATCCGGACTGCAGTTCAACAATTATATCATTTGTATTGTTGAATTTAAATGGAACATTCAAAAAAAAAAGAAAAAGGATAATTTACATTTGATTTGTTTATAGTACAACAATTAAATCAATCATTTGAATTGTTGGATCTAAGTAAAAAATTCAACACATTTTAAGAATTCAATCAAAACATTCCAATAATCTGAAATGATAAATCACAGTCTAAGATCTAAACCTTCTCAAGCCTTGAACTGAAGTAATTTTATGATTTAACGTTCTGTGACTAAATATCTACATGAACTGAATAGCTTCTAGACTAGAGCTGCCTTTCATTCGCGGGTTTAAACACTCCTCCAAACTCCCGATCCTCGTGCCAACTCCTTTTAACTCCAGAAACCAAATGGAATTTACGTTCATTATTATGAAGAAGGCAGTTTTAAATTGGGGATCCAGGAGGCATTGTTGGGTTGATGCTCCTCGTCCATGATCGCTGCATTAACCATGAGCGTCTCTTTTCCGGGTTCCACAGGCATGTCCATAGCCCGAGGATAGTCATTTACCAAATCGCTCTCTCCCTTCATTTCATTGTCCCACACAATCTTATTGGTGCCGTATCCCTCATGAATGTGGCCAAAGCAATGCATCAAAGGCCTCGCACGCTTAATCGCGCGAAGTATATTTTCGCAGCTCTGGTGACCATCTTTACACTCATCGCGAATTCCCTTTGGTGGTCCATGTGTCATGACGACATCTACACCAGCGAAACCTGGCATGGGATTTTCAGAAATTGAAGTAACTGCCTCTGCAGTTTTCCCAGATACATTGAAGCGATCTTCGTTACGCTTGTAGGGGAAGTCATAGTCGTTGAATTAGGGTTGATAAGGGGAAGCATAAATTTTAAATGTTGCTCCGTTTTTAAGTTGAAAAGAATGCGTTCCTTCCTCCAAATAAGTAACACCTGCTTCTTTCGCTAGCCCATTCATGACCTGCATGGCACGAGCATGGTCCTCAAGATAGTCCTCATCTTCTTCGAGATGTGCCTTACACCATCCTTTATCAAGCTCCAAGTCATGGTTTCCAGCGACAACTAATTAAGCTCTGCGTCGAAGCTACTGAGCATTTTGAGAGCCTTTTTGAAGGCTGGAACTCCTCCCACTTGTGTTAAATCTCCACAGTGGAGAAGGACGTCGACTTTTGGGATGGGGAGCTGCAACTTGCTGGATGCATTGCCGCCAAATTGGTAATCGTGTGTATCAGACAATACGAAGAAACTTGTTTCAATTCGCGCCATTATGATCGTGTAACTGTTTGTGGTGGTATATTCTAATATAATTTGATTGAATAAATCGTGATCTTAGAATTATAAAATTTGATTGTGCAAGGATTTTGTATAAAAGAAGGAAGAAAAAGAGAGATATTTTTTTCTCTATGAATTTGTGCATGTAGCTGGTGCTGGTTGGTGAACGGCTACTAGTATCTGAGGTGTTATCATGTGATCAAGCAAGCCAGGCGATGGATTGTGGCAATTAAGATTATAGCTAACAATATGATAAATAGGTACGTGATACGTTGCTCAAACAATCAAAAATGCGATGAAGACAGACCTAATACAATATCATCTCATGCAATATCTCGTGCCCCGTAAACAAGCTTCGTGATCCAAACCAACGCCGGCATAATCAGTATGGGAACCTAACGCTTAAGGATGAAATAGACTAATTGAAAACCAAAAATCTAAATCTCCCGTGATGTTTCAAAGTTCCAACCTATGCAAGGATTTCATACGCCTGAAGTCCACCCATACCTCTGGAACTTTCCACTTGGGATATTTCCGCGCAGAAGTCCTCAATTTATCCCTCATACTTGAAAGCTCATCTATGTGAATGTGCATTTCCCATAATTCCAAGGTCAGAATCCTTAAAGAGCTGAAATGCTGGATGTAATCCCAACAAAATGCGTTCAAATCAATTACATTGAACTCCAAATTCATAATCTTTTCTGCTCCTGCACCCCGGAAGCCGGTAAGAATCATGGGTAATAATTTTTCATCAAACAAATCCAGCGTCAGTACATCTCTTTCAAAATTAATGTACGCGGTTCCAGCCCTATCAAATTTTCCAGGAGCTAGTTCATAGCTTGTCAACCCGGCCTCTCGTGCCTCACGATTGACATGAAGTATCGCCGGAATTGGATTGACCTCAGTCGAACCAATTTTAGCTCTGGCGATGAACCAGCCCAAGACTGCTGGATGCGTTCTGTGTTTGTAGTCTAATTTCAGTCCGATATTTAATTTTCGCCGAGGGTGTATATGTAAATGCCAAATCTTGAGACGCAGCTCTGTTGGAAGTGCCGGAAAATATGAGAAGGTTGTGAGCTCCTCCGAGGAAGTATCTGACGACCGCGACAGGCTTTCCATTAAATGGCTGGGATGGTTACCTGGACATGAATAGGAGCAGTCAGGTCAATGAAGATATCGAGACGTGTTGTACCTAGAACGGGAGTGTGTGTAGGCGGTGGGATGGTTTGTTGAAGATCGAATTGGCAGGAACTGGAAATATGTACAACGGTGTAAGGAGGATGAGTTAGGACAGAATCTCTCAAAAATGTCGTCAAACGACCCGGGGTAATTGATGTTCCGACTGTTTGCTTATTCAGCACAATTCTTGACACATTCCAAAATCTGATAAGTTAAGGGTATTATTGTTAAGGCGGCAACATAACAGTCCTAAAAGAAATGGCGGGGCAATGCGGGGTTGCGTCTGGATACAGAGAAAGAGGCTAGTACGGAAATGGTATATAGTCTATAAATAAATGGGTTTTCATACCCTTAGGGGTATGGTTTAGTACAGTGGATAGCTTATGATAATCCACTTTTCTGATACCTACATAACACGTCCTAGGTCTCGAACTGATTTGATATTTATTAAAAGGGTATTGGAATGCTATCACTTAGCGGAAACGTTCCTAGGTTGGAACATAGAAAACCTCCATGAATTGCACAAGCAGCAACAGATTGCAACAGTCTTCCAGGCCATTACTCACACACTGCACAACCAAAATATAAGACCCGAACACATTATCCATGGCCCAACATCGATACCCCAAATGGAAATCGACAAGTCAGTTTGCAGCGGGAGCTCGAGTAAACCCTCCAAGAGCAGCCTAAAAAATAGGGGAAGCGATTCGTCTCTCCTAGAGTCCAAAGTTCGAACCCCTTCATTACCTCGCTTACGCACAATTCTGCAAAATTTCTTCACCATTTGACCCACAACCCCCACCACATATTTCACACCCTGTTGTGACGTCGATGTTTCCTCCCTCCTTAAACTTCTTTAACGAGTAAAGATGGGGGACAGGGCAAGATTAACATTCGCCAATAAAAGGGGAGTTGAATCGCTTTAGACGAAGCAAAAACCAGCAAAAAGAATTTGTATGACCAGAATGGGGCACGATCCCAGGACCTTGTCCGTATTTAACAGGTATTAGTTGTTAAGGACACGTGATAACCAACTACACCATCCGGCCATTTGTGACGTTTTATGAATCCCTGACGGGCTTTGGAAATATATTGACATTGTTGAGAGAAGGTGTGTAGATACTCATTGGGAAGGGGTGAAATGATGGTGACACAGACTGCATGGACAATGGTTCGACAAACATTATTCCCACAATCAGACGTCAAAGCAGGGGCAAAGTTTAGGTATATGCTGGAGAGATCCGATAGATCTTAAGCTCAGAGGCTGCAGGCGTACCATTACTAGAAACTATAACAATAGTGTATAATCATACGCAACTGTTGAAACTCGTTCCGTTTCCATTCAAGGCTCACCAGGCCAGATCTGATCCGCAATACTTCTAACCAATAACAACTTATTCTTCATATCTTCCCATCCCACCAAATTACCCTCCTCATGACTAGCAAACCCACACTGAGGGCTTACACCTAATCTTTTCAATGCTTCATCTCTCGTCTGTCCTGCTCCTTTTGCTACAACGTCGGCAGCTTCCATGACTCTTGCTTTCATCTCATCTTTGTCCTCGAGTTTTGGGAATTTTGATGTAATGACTCCAAGAATAACATTCTTGTGGGGTGGGAGGTAGAGCAATGGCCCAAAGCCACCAGACCGGGGTGTATCGTATTCGAGATAGTATGTTGCTACATTAAGGTTACGAAAGAGCTTGGTAGCAATGCGATCGTAACCTCCTTCAGAGAAATGACGTGATCCCATGAAATTGCCCCTGCAAATGTGTAAACCAAAATGTATTTTGGCGGTATGTTTCTCTATGCTGTCATTATAGCACTTGATATAAGCATCGAGCAACTCTTCGGCAGTTTTAGTATTGGATTTGTCTTCCTCCCAACCTTTAAGCATCTTCTCGGAGCAGAAGTCTTTTAACCGTTAGCTCTTGCTGAAACATGAATCATGTCAAATTACTTACATGCAAAATTCGGGTCATCAAACTGCACATTCCTGACTCCAGCTTCATACAAGATGTCCAACTCCGCGCTAACAGCTTTTGAGATATCTGAAAAGTATTCTTCGTCACTGGAATAGACTTCTTTGGGGAACGCCTTGCCATCCTTGTATCTGAGATGATACCACGGTGGGGCAATCATTGTCAACTTGATATTCCCCCATCTCTCTTGTGGCACAAGCGTCTTCAAATATTCGAATTGACCAATGAGTGTCGACTTTCCCGTATGCTTTATTTTGCCAGTGCAGAGGCAAGATTGCCCCGGCTTGTCACCCTTTTCGATGAATCCAGCAATATCAGGAACGTAGGGACGAAAGATATCCATGGAAGGATTCCGGATCTCGGTCATACCTTCGAGCTCTTCAAAGAAGATTCCCCAAAATACAGCGCGTCTGCCATGGGACTCACGTTAGCGTATGTATCAAACTTTACGCCAAATGGAGCTGTATGGACGACAAACCGATATTCCCCGTCACTGATAGCTCTGAACCCGCACTCTTTTTGTAGCTCTACGGCCTTGTTAATAGATTCATTCTCAATGCGAGTCAGTTCTTCCTGGCTCAAATCATTCTTCTCGAAAGCGTTGCGCTTGACGAGGAGCTCCGCAGGACGGAGCAGGGAGCCCAAATGTTCGGCGCGGAAAGGCGGATTACGATGAATGGTCGTCATTTTCTATGATCAGGACTTGAAAATGTATTGAACAGGCAGAAGAAGCTCGAAACATCTTCAATTGCGAAAAGAACCATCATATACTTCTTTTGCCACGCTCAACCCCGCGCTTAACCCCGCATTAGCCATGGTGACGTCCGCAATAGCATTACATCGGCTGTTGAGATATGAAATGCCATTGGACTCCAATGATTGAACGGGATAAAGGGTGAGATGTTACATTTTATATGAGGAACTTTCTCGGTAGTTGGATCGTGAGGAGACAGTAGACAAGTAGCTTTGAGGTTGTTGGTGAGATTAGATGATCCGACGATAAGCTCGAATGCATTGCGGAGTTTCCAGCGGAGATAATATCGGATAAGGATAGTGTTTACCGAGGAAAAGCCGTAAGAACTCTGTTGTCCCCGCGCCAAGCTGACATAAGGTTATGAACTCACTTATCGAGCACAACCTGAGGTCTCTCAACGTGACAATGCAAATAATTATACGTGACACAACAATTACCTATCTCCATTTGTTATCGAGCTTGTCGCGAAAAATTGAAGTCATCATGATTCTTGAATCATCCGAAATATGTATCAGATACGATCAAATAAACGAACGTGCCGACACAACGGCTCACACACAATATGGCGTTTCACAGCTGTTCGTTCTCATCCGTAATTCGCTCCATGAATCAGGATGATACGGAATTTACTGGACCTTGGATGCATCCCGCCACAAACAGAGTAAGATAAAGGATTTGGGCGACACGAAACAAGGACGAACAAGGGTAATCTCACCTTGTGGAAGCTTTTGATTGATAGCTGCAGTGGGGCTAGTTGGTTGCAGCTACAGCATCTCTTGCATAGCATGGTCACCGCCAATTTGGCAGCTTAACATCGCGTTTGTATATGCTCATTTGCTTTCCACGGACTTCAATCTTCCTGATGTGTTCAGTTCGCTAGCAATGAGCCTCTCAACAACAGCTTCATGCTATGATGCCTAGGCTCAACATGATTGCTCCACCCGCGCGCTTGCTGATCAGGATCTTTAGTGGGGCTTCAGAGGCTTGTGGTTGCGTTGATCCTGCAAACATTTCAATTCCATCTATTTTGCCACACATACTACCTACCTAGGTACTGACCGCATTGGTTTTCGACAATTCACTATCGCACTTATGCAAGATACCAACTGTTACCCTTGAAAGCGCGTATTTCTCGCCCTAAATCGCGCAGTGTTTTGTCAATACTTGGTGGTTATAAGATTTCTCTTATCAAGTAACTTTTCTCAATCATGTTTGCATGATTTTTCTTGAAAATCATCAATCAGAATCCCGTGAGGATGCAGGTTCAGAGCATCGTTGCAGAAGTCATTGGACTCTCTGTTATCGGACTTTTTACGCTGCCATCCATTGTGACAATCTCGAGAACTCCATATCGACGAAAGGGAACCCCAAGTTGGCTTGACGATAAGGATGGAAGCACAACTACTGCCAGTGAACATGATTTCAACGCAAATATCCCAAAGATATGCTTGTCTATCTCCCTTATATTAGGCATTTTCACTTTTGTTCTGAAGACTCTCCAATCAGGCAGCACCGAGCATTCCCCTGTGGAAATAGCAACTGACATCGTGGGATGGGTTAGTTTTCGACCTCCAGTCCGCGCCCCGCGATGCTAACTATTGCAGTTCCTATTGACGATACAAGTGTTTGCAGTGTGCTTTACGAAAGATAATATCATAAGCTACACGCAAGGCAAATATACTGCAGCTTCCTGCTTTGCTTTCCTTGGCATGGCCGTTGTTGAGGATGAAGAAGCTCTGAGACGTCCATGGTCAATTTCCACTGGATTATCTATTGCCCGGATGGTCACCATAATTGCTGTTGCGATTGCGAGTACGTCAATACCACGAAGACCTCAGGTCTTTTATCATGGACGACTCGTTCTAAACGAATTCAACGTTTCATTTCTCAGCCGATTCACCTTCTCATCAATAGAGTATTTACTCCAAAGAGCGAAGCGACAAAATGATTTGGATATGGAAGAACTTCCTACAATGAACTACTCAAAAAGATCAAAGACTCTCAGCCGTGCATGGGTAGCTAGGAGCAGCTCTGGGCGATTGTGGGTGAGGTTATTGAAAGTCTATACATGGCCCCTTTGCCTACAAATCATTCTAGGTTTGATTCATGCTTTTCTGGCTATTGGACCCCAGTTAGCGATATTTAAGATACTCAGCGCAATGGAGTCTGGGAAGACTGGAAGGCAGCTGGCCTTTTATATTTTGGCTTTTGGACTCGCTACTGTTATAGCTTCATGGGTTGAAGGTACGTGCCAGTCACTCAAACCTATATCTACTTCCATTGACCTAACTTTGCGCAACAGCGATGCAAGATATTACAAGCACGAGCCTGGTATCTGTTCCGATGCGAGCTCAACTATCAGCGTTGATATTCGAAAAGACTATGCGTCGCAAAGATGCAAAAGGCGGTTCGGCATCATTGGAAAATAAGGAAGGTGTTCCCTCTGATGACATAGACCCAGACAAGACATCTCAAAAAATCCTCAATTTAATTGGGGTAGACACTGGGAGAATTTGTGATTGTGCCAGACAAACATTCGAGATCGTTCAGGCCCCTGGCCGAATTATCATATCTGTAGGATTTTTGGTCACATTATTGAGCTGGCAGGGGATTTTGCTTGGCTTTTGGTGCGTAACCTGGACTTAAGTTCTTCCCATATTGTCAAACGTACTGAAGCTAATTTATCAGTTTTGTCTTCCTAACCTTCCCCATTACCCGTCGCTATTCTAAAAAATTTACTGCCTCGCAGGGAATTCTGATGCAGACTAGAGATAAGAAAGCTGCAATTATTGGCGAAGCTCTTCAAGGCTTCCGTCAGATCAAATTCTCTGCACTTGAGGATCGATGGGAAAGGTCTATCATGGCAATGCGAGATGTCGAGCTTACAGCAACGTGGGACGTTCTGATGTCCAGAATTATGTTGATTGCATGCTGGATTTTGAACCCACTTATGACAGCCGCAATCGCATTGGGAGTTCATTCGTATATCTGCAGACAGCTAACACCCGCACAAGCATTCACTGCCATTGGTGTATTTCTGCAGCTGGATCACTGTATGCAATCTCTTCCCAACATAATAACACAGATGATCGCCGCCAACGTGTCTTTACAACGTGTCGAGAGTTTCCTTGATTCGCCGGAAGTTGGAAACATTCTTTCCAGCCCAGTTCAGCTACTTGAAACAACGGATTCCGATTCACCCGTGATAGTTTTTGAGGGTGCAAGATTAAGCTGGCCTAGCGATGATGAGTATGTTGAAGCCGAAAGCGAGCGATTTATTCTCCAGGATATCAATATCTCGTTTCCAGTCAACCAATTGACGATTATTTGTGGAAAAACCGGTTCTGGAAAAAGCTTGTTACTAAATTCCATTCTTGGTGAAGCAGAGCTCATCTCCGGCAAAATTACGGTGCCGGAAAGACCATCTGACCAATATGACCATCATGCAAATAAAGATAACTGGATAATTCCCCACTCGATTGCATTTGTTGCACAGATTCCCTGGATTGAAAATTGTACAATTAAGGAAAATGTTCTTTTTGGCCTACCACTAGATCTGGACCGTTACGAACAAGTCATAGAAGCTTGTGCCTTGACTAAAGATCTTGAACTCCTGTCAGACGGACATGAAACAGAAGTTGGAACTGGTGGAATCAATTTAAGTGGTGGCCAGCGAGTAAGTAACACAGCATTTATTAAAGACTAGATGCTCGTGCTCTTCCCTCATATCTTAATTTGGTCACTGCAGTCAAACTCTGCTCCATACACAAGTCTAACTGACTGCTGATTTAGTGGCGATTAACTTTGGCACGAGCATTGTATTCACGTGCTGGGATTGTCTTGTTAGATGATATATTCAGTGCTGTCGATGTTCACGTTGGGCAATTCATTCTCAGCAATGCTCTTGTCGGAGAGCTGAGCGCTGGTCGCACCATAATATTGGCAACTCACCATTTATCTTTATGCAAATCGTACGTTAAGTCTATTGTAGAGCTCGAAGATGGTATTGCCAAACAGTTCTCGAGTGTTCAGGAATTGGAGGAATATCTTGGGGCACCCGTCGAAAGCTTGGACGATACCGACGAGACTTTAGTCACCACCGAAGATATCTTGCAGGAAGGTACCATCCTCGATACGCCAGACCTCAGTACTTCGACAATTAAAAGGACCGATCCTCTCAAATTTGTGACGGATGAGTTTCGCAAGCAAGGAAGTATTGGATCTTCAGTGTACTCGAAGTGGCTTAAATCCTGCGGTGGATGGACCATTGGAATGATATTCCTTCTGATTTATACTATATCCACCTCATTCAATCTTGGTAAGAAACCATTTCTCGGACCCATTCAAGAAAACAGAAACTAAAAGTAATGCCCCAGGCCGAACATACTGGCTTCGATTCTGGACAAGTACCGATGGCGAGAACGAACGCAATTTACAAGCAAGATCTTATCACCCGCAGATATTCCTAGCCTCTTCTGGATCAGATGGCAATATTACCACGCTATCACTCGAAGCAATAAGTAAACATAGCACAAACTTCTATCTCGGAATATATTTTGCACTTTGTGTCGCTGTCAGCATTTTCCGTATCTATGGCTATATTTACGCATACAAGCAATCTATTCGAGGATCCAAGAACCTCTTTCAGACAATGCTCTTCAAAGTTTTAAGAGCTCCTTTACGTTGGATAGATACTGTTCCATTCGGAAGAGTTATGAATAGGTTCACTACTGACTTCAACACGGTTGACTTTGATATTGTGGTGAGAATAATTGTTTCTTAGTTGCACCTCGTCATTGACTAGTTCGCCCAATTGATGGAATCCTTTCACCCCTGGATTCACCCATTTCTGACACTTTGTACTTTTAGGACACACTCACGTGGGGTTTCGGTGACGTCTTCAGGTTATTCGGCATAGCGATTGCAGGGTAAGTAGTTTTTCCTTCTCCATATAAACTCTGCTAAGAAGATGAAAAGAATGTTCTTGTCACCATACGTATTATTGTTAACAATTGCCGCATCTGCATTTTCTACATATCTCGCACTTCAAGCCATCACTGCAGCAAGAGCAATCAGACGCTTGGATTCTATTAACAGATCCCTTGTATTTGAGCAGTTTCGCACTATCTTGATTGGCATCACTACCATAAGAGCTTTTGAAAAGAGGGATAATTATCTTGAAAAAGTATACCGTAAAATTGACGACTCAAGCTCAACACTATGGAACACAACACTTTGTCACAACTGGCTTGTTTTGAGAATAGGTGGCATGGCTTCAGCGGCATACACAATGGCCATCGCAGCGATTGTGGCCGCTACTGTAACTGATGCAGGGCTTGCTGGATTTGTCCTTGCCATATCTCTGGAATTCTCAAGTGCTCTATTTTGGTCACTTTTTCATGCAGGTTTCCTCGAATTACGCATGAATGCTGCAGAGCGCGTGATTGAATATGCTGAAATGCCTACCGAGACTTTAGATGGCGAGGAGCCGCCCGCAAGTTGGCCAACAGCCGGATGTTTGGAAGTGAAAAATTTGGTGGTTGCATACAACCATGATTTGGCACCCGTTTTGAAAGGTTTAACGTTCAATATTGATCGTCAAATGAGGTAAATATTTGACTCCAGCCCCTCCGATGTACTCTAGTCTAATATGGTCTTAGGGTAGGGATTGTTGGTCGCACGGGATCTGGGAAATCTACATTAACATTAACACTTTTCCGTTTTCTGGAAGCGAGAGAAGGTAGCATTGTCATTGATGGTCACGATATCTCGAGACTAAAGCTACAATCTCTGCGCCGTAATCTCGCCATCATCCCTCAAGATCCCGTTTTGTTCTCAGGTTCGAGTTTTTCCAATTTTGCGCTCAAAAATTTGCACTAACAAAGGGCTAGGAACGCTCCGAAGCAATTTGGATGCAAACAACGAGTATGATGACACGGCTCTCTTTGATGCTCTTCGCCGAGTTCACCTCATTGACCCATCTGTCTCTGGCATCGAAACCCCATCCTCGTGCTCATCCCGAAATCAAAATATCTTCCTTTCGCTCAACAGCTCTATCTCTGAAGGTGGATTGAATCTCTCCCAAGGTCAACGTCAACTATTGTGCCTCGCACGTGCCATTATTCGTCGACCTAAAATCCTCATTCTCGACGAGGCTACTTCATCTGTGGATGTCCAGACGGATGCACTTATTCAGCAAAGCATTCGTGAGGAATTTGCAGATAGCACTCTCTTGGTTATTGCGCATAGACTCAGTACGATAGCTGATTTTCAGAAGATCATGGTGATGCATGATGGAAAAGTGGCGGAGATGGGAAGTCCGAAGGAGTTAATCGATAAGAAGGGTATGTTTTGGGGGATGGTGAAGGAGAGTGGAGAGGTGGATAAACTAGTGAAGATGAGCAAGGGTTAAGAGAGTAATCTTTATACTGTTATCCACTTTGAGCGAGATGCTTTTGTCTCTTCCGAATTTCTTAGGGTTATCTGGTTTGCCAGGAAAAGTTTTAATGTTCACTTTTGTGTCAAATATTGAGGTTGCTATTTGATGATTTTGAGAAGAAAAACCAATGTACTATGGTGTCACAAACCTTTTTCAGAATGACGTCCACATTTGCAAAACTTCGAATATGCAATATGATGCTGTAAAATCTAGCATCTAGAACTAGAAGTCTAGAAGTCTAGAACTGAAGGAAAACATTCATCATCCATATCATGGTCCCAAGGACTACATTTTGTAAATCTTCTAAATTGTGATTGAGGACTGACCACCCATTGTGATTGTTACTTAATGATTTGAAAATATTCTCCATCTCAAAAATACGTTGACTTTGCATTTCCGCATCTCATTTCCATTCATCGCAGATACACCAAGTAGGAAGTGATATCGTCTATTATTCCCTTCACCAATTTCTCTACTTATTATTAAGCTCTAACCGCAAGCGCGCTCAAACTCGACATCGAAATCTTCACTTTAAAATAGACGGACTTGGAGTGGATTTAGGTTTGTTTGATATCTGCATTTTCCGTGACGGGGGGATTTTAGAGGATAATATTCTATAAGATTGAAATAGGTCAAGCGTGTATATTTATTTTCTAATACTGGTTTTAGTCGTCTGTATAATGTTTGTTTGAGGACTTTTATTCTAGCTCACTTCTTCCTAAGGGGTGAATGAGTAAGTCGAGATGTCCTAAATGTCCTAAACCAAAGCCTACATTATATCAACTTATATAACAAGATCCATTTGTATCAACAGGGCAAATATTTCTGGCGCGCCAAATCCACCAGTGTGTAAAATGAATCTCTACTCTCCACTCAAATAACCTCATCGTGACGTCTCTCTCTCTTCAGGGTTAGGATACCCCTGAGCTTCTAGAAGTTTGGCATTCAGTTTCTAGACGATTATTATTGCGCTAATGCATGGGTTTCTGCTAGAAATGATGATGCCTTTGATGCTCTTGGGTATGACCATGGGCAGAAAGTACCTGCTCTCTATTTAGACCCCATTACCGGACATGTCACTAGATATAGGCGTTAATGGCGATCTCCATATTTAAGATACGTCTATAGTTATTGTTAGCAAGATATAGCGCACTAAGAATCCACGTTGGAAAATCCCTCGGAATTCAATATATAACTGCAGTGTGCCTCGAGACTATGTGGATATTGCGAATTTGACTCTCATATTTCACTAATTATAATTGAGCTTCAATCTTTTCGCTTAGTAATAGGGAAAAATATTTATAGTGCGATTGGAATTGCTAAGCTGAGGATATTTCACTTTTCATGCACAACGCTAGTGCGAGGTAATATGATGTTTCTGGGACGTGAGTCATTGTCCTATTATTGACGTAGATGAGATGATCACGTCCAAGTCATTGTAAATTTGAAATTCAGCAGGGGAAAAGAAATGGCATCAGACCCTAATTTGCACATCATTATCATATTGAATTTGACAACCTACTAAACATGTGATCTAATGTATCAAGTATATTGTGTATTGCTGACAAACCTACGTTGAGTAAGAACGTAACGACAGCCATTCAAAGTGAAGCTTGATGCTGCGATATTGAGCCAATCATGGAAGACAGAACCAAGACCTGCTGACAACCTGCATAAAGTACACGGCTTTGTTCATCTACAGTATGACATGACAGCCGTGTATCTCTCATCAGATGAATAGCAATGATAATAGATATCAGAAGCACAGAATCTATTCATAGCTATGCTAATGCCGCGGCAATTTTCATGGCCATTTTTAAGGATTGTGTCTTACGTGTATGAGATGCATCCACAAGCATACTAAGTCGTAGAGCCGCTATTTCGGTTTTCATTATTAGCTTCGTACGTCCCAATGGACACCGCCAAGCTATATTCATCAACTTTGACATATCAAATATAGTTTGGGGGTCTTGCAATATGGAGCTGGAATTTAATGAGATAAGACAAGTGTGTATCTTGTCAGGTGCTTTTACGACAGTTCCAAAGATGGGGCAAGATATTGGATGCAAATGTCGAAGACTATACATGTCTTTGCCTTCCTCATTGAGTCTTATCAATTCCATCATGAGATGTGGTTGCAAACGTTGATAGTCGTCGAGAAATTTGATATATCAATGCGGTGCCACCATGCTTGGAATGCTCGATTTGGAAGGAGGGCGTATTTTTTGCAGCGCTGCCTGCGCCATTGGATAAAGAAAATCGCGGGGATGCTAAGAGATCTGAGTTGAATTTCTACTACCATGCCGCGTAAGGATTTAGGCAATATCAAGTACTTCGAAATGTCCTTCCTGAACGCCTCAAGGCCCCTGCATGTGAAATGTGTGTCATTCAGGCGAATGCGAAGCCACAACAAATATCTTCGAAAATTCAATAAGGAGATCCTAGAACTACACAGTGAACAAAAATCTGAAAGTATATTCTCAGCACAAAAAGGAAGGCAGTGTCCATTTAACCTTATTTTAACGTCTTGGCCTCCTTGGCGCTTGAGATAGCATGCTCGGCAAACAGCCCCAGCTTCCTATTTCGACCTGCCGAGGCTGGTCACTGCAGAGTTTTGTTTCAATCTGACATTTGATTTGCTTGATCTTCGTCGTCAAATATTTGTAACTTTGGTGAATGTCGTTCAATGAATCTTGCGAGCTTCTTGTTCAGGAACTCTTGCAAGCTTCTTGTTCAGGAACTCTTGCAAAGGTGCCTCCATTAGTAACCGTAAAGTCGCGATTCAAGAAAAAATATATATCATCAATGCTTTACTCACTCCCAGAACCCGCTTCACTCTACCATCGACTGCGACAAAATGAAGCTCTTTCAAATTCTTAGTTTTGTCTCCGCGGCAACTGTTGGAGCCGCGCTTGGAAACAAGGTGAACTACGATGGCTACCAAGTCTACCGCCTCAAAGCTCAAAATGACAATATTGAGAAAATCAACGACATTGTCTCTTCACTGGATCTCCAAACATGGAAAAAATCGGCCAAACTTGGCACAGCTGATGTGGTTGTACCTCCAGAGCATGTAGACAATTTTTTGAGAATAACCGAGGATATGCAGCGAGAGGTTATGCACAGCAATCTTGGAGAGTCCATTGCGGAAGAGGGACACACCGATACATACTCCACAGAAGCTGGTAAGTCATCGCTATTCTCTCAGAACCTTGCAATTAACAAAACTCAGTCCTCTCACCAAATGCTACGTGGTTCACCGCGTATCATGCATATGCAGACCATATACAATTTCTCAAGGATTTGGTCGCTGCACATCCAGGAAACGCCGAGATCGTAACGGCTGGAAATTCTATTCAAGGCAATGCCATTACCGGAATTCATATCTATGGCAGTTCCGGTAAAGGAGTCAAGCCAGCTGTGCTCTTTCATGGCACCGTGCATGCTAGAGAATGGATTACAACGTTGGTTAGTTGGCAGTTAGTGTAGCATCGAACTTGCAGCAGCTAACATCTTGTAGGTTGTAGAGTACATGGCTTACAACCTTTTGACAAATTATGCTACCAGCACCGAGATCAAAGGATTTGTCGATAAATATGACTATTACATCTTCCCAGTTGTGAATCCTGATGGTAAGTCAATATTATTTGTTCTTTAACATAGCTAGCTGACTTCAGCCGTAGGCTTTTTGTACACCCAGAGCACAAATCGTTTGTGGCGCAAAAATCGTCAGACACCACCGTCATCCTCAACTTGTTATGGTAGGGATATCAACCGTAACTGGGCATATAAATGGTCAACCACAGGTGGAGCTTCTACGGACCCTTGTGCCGAAGATTACAGAGGTATGTGTTGTTTGGTACTTGGAGGCAAAGAATAGTGCTAAATATCATTAGGTGTCGCTGCGGTGGACGCTCCGGAAACGAAAGCACTTGCTGCATACGCCAACGCTTTGAAGACGGCCCAAGGATTGAAGCTTTTTATTGATTTCCACTCGTACTCTCAACTTTTTATGACTCGTAAGTCGATCTAACCCATCAAAAATCTGTATGAGTATCTAATCTTACATTCGCAGCGTACGGCTACTCTTGCACTGCTTTGCCAGAGAACAACTCCCAGCTTCAATCACTGGCAGCAGGTTACGTTTCTGCCGTCAAAGCAGTGTATGGAACCAGCTTCAAATACGGACCTATCTGTTCCACCATTTATCAAGCCACTGGGACTAGCGTAGATTATGTCGATGCGACCGTTGGTGCTGATTTCACCTTTACCACGGAATTGAGAGATACTGGAACTTATGGTTTTGTTCTGCCGGCTAGCCAAATCACACCCAGTGCCATTGAGGCCTATGCTGGAGTGAGATCTTTGTTGATTAATATGACATGAAAGTCAAGAAACTTCAACATGAATGTCAGGAAATGGAAACACGCTCTAGCCGGAAGGGGAAAGTGAATGGGCAGTGGATAAAGATAGCAAAAGATGATAAAGAGTGAAAATCTATTCATATAATTGATGCTTTTCTGAGCACATTTTGATTAAGTGGTACCCGTATGTAACGATACTGTACTTGAGGCAGTAGTTGCCTAAGGTTTCGTCTAGTTGGTAGTTATGGGTTCAGGCTTTATCACTGGTATTCACTTGGAAGTGAAGTCGTTACTAGATCAAGTAGAATGTAGGTAAACTAATTGATAACTAAGTTGAGCACGAAGCTCCTAGGGCTCCTTATCACGTGATTTCTGATGGTGCGTGCGCATACGATCTTCAGGTGACCAAGATCACATAACGTAATTTATCACCGAGTGGGCCATATCACCGAGTGGGCCACTTTCACCTCAATTTACACTTTCAAGTACATATTATTCAACAACAATTGAATCAATTGATTGAAACTATTAGGAATCTAATAATCTAGGATCTATTATATTGATTTGACAAGTTCTTGAATTATGACCTGGCTTTCCACACTTACTACAGCATCTACTAGAAGATGCTTCCCCATTAGAATTCCCCCCATTTTGACGCTCGTCGCGTTGAATCTGAATATCAATCTCTTGTTGAGATAATATATCCATAGCTTCTTGTCCAGCAAGTACTTCTTTTTACTGTAATTGAGTTTTTTTGTACGTCGATGTTTGCTTAATGCCTCATTTGCCTTCCGAAGTATACGGTTTTCTGCATTTAAAAGTGTATTTTCATATGCCAATCTTTCTGTGCCTTTAGCTAAAGCTAGTACAGTTTTGAATATAGGTGTAGGAGAGCTTGATTGATGACGAGATATTCGAGATTTTACTAAAGTTGATTGAGAAGGAGCTTCAGTTGGATTGTGAAGGGTTTGAGAGATCCAAAGATCCAAATCGAAAGGAGGAGGAGTAGGTGTATGAATTCGAATATCTAATTTTGAGAGTACAGCTTCGGGATTAAATGGTATTAATCCAGCTCCTCGAAACCCAGCTTTCATATTCTGAACTGTAATTGATTCTTGATATGCAGCTTTAAAAGCTATAAAGAATTCAATCTTGGAGATATGATTGATATGTACCTTAATAAATCCATCAATTTGACAACCATACGAACGTTTTAGGACACTAAAACACCCAACATCAAGTGGTTGAGTTAAATGACTTGAATACAATGGTAATCTTATATATATAATATCATTTGCCTTGCAATATGACTGAAAAGATATTGATTTATGACTTTCGTATCTATCTAATACTAACATTCGATATTTGCCCTTTCTTCGATGAATCGTATGTTTATCGAAATGCTTTAACCATTCTAATCCTGTCTCATTATTCGTCCATCCATTGGAAGTAGGTTTGATAGCCCAATCCGCAGGAAAATCGGTTTCGGTGTACCAATTGGAAAGATGGATTTGTCCTTGAACTACCAGAAATGGAGGTATAGTTTCACCCTCCCCATTACCACATATAATTGCTGTAGCCCATTCTCGATTGCCTGGTTGTACTGCTTTACCTCTGCCTCGTCGTTCAGCATCAGTTACAACCATTGCAGCACTTATAATCCCCATCATAAAGCCTGTTTCGTCGAAATTATAGAAATCGCAATCCAGAATACCATATTTTGCTTGCATATTCGATACCAATCGAAACCACTCCTCAAGAAGCTTAGGGTCTTCGCAGAGAGCTCTTTGAAAATCATAAACACGACTAAAACGCGTCTTTAATTCTGTATGACGCTTTACGAATCGATGAGCCCAGAGCTTTCCAACTTTCTTCGCATTTCTTGATTCAAGAATATAATTCGCCATATCTTCTACACCCTTGATTTTAGGTGGAAATCCTCTTCGATCCATATCAAGTATGTATTCAACAATCACTTTCTCTTCCAATTGTGTAATCTTATGGCAATTCGCTCGAGTTTCTGTACGTGGAGTTAAACCATCCATTCTGTGGCTGATCGTTGTGCGAGGTATATTATATAGTTGAGCAGCCTTCCGAATGCTTAGTTTTTTATCTTTTTGAAAAGCTTCGATAGCTAAGAGTAAACGTGCTTCTTTATTTGTAGATTGCATAATAAATGGTTGATAAAACGCGTGTTGAATATGAAGAGTGTGAATTGAGGTGAAAGTGGCCCACTCGGTGATATGGCCCACTCGGTGATAAATTACGTTACTAATTCGATGAAATCTGATCGTGTTTGCACAAGGCCTAAGCTCTCCTAATTAATCAGTTTGCTACCATCGTAACACCATCAATCCTAATGGTGAATCGTGACACTTCAGTAATGACAATAATGATACGCAATTCGTAACTAATAGTAGAGTATACTAAATGATTGATCTTGATCTTGAGTACGAAGCTCTATACAAAGGGAATCCATCTTGATTATATAGACCTTCGTATTCCAACATTGGAGCGAGGGAGCGAAGGAGCGAGATTCGAATCTCGCTCCCCAGCTCCATCGCTCCCTTACAAGACTATTCATGTGATCCTATAACACGTGATAATAGTTTATAATGTTACAACGTAACACTGAGCAGGGATGGTGGAGCGAAATCGGAAAGTATATTGAAGAATCGTAGCTTAGTCATCGAATTGAAGTTATTCATATAAAAAACCCCGTTCCATAGATTGGACAAGCCACAGTCTCAAAAATGGGCCCTTGAATGATCAACTGATTCGCCGCTACTGTAGGGGGTATATACATATACATATGAGGTGAAAAGGCAGGTTACAAAGCAGGGTGGCTGGTGATATGATCTTAGATTTTATTGGTTTAAATGAACCTTTAAGGTTAGATATATCTGACTAATCTGTGGCTTATCATCCCCCTAGCAAAAATAATTTCTAGTTCTCCACATGTAATCCGACCTCAGAAGAGAGAACCAAACATTTACATGCTCATTGTATAATAACTACCTACCTACCTAGCATTGGATTATCGTAAACACTACGGTATATTCGCCGTGACCTATCAAGATGTTCATATGATGACAATCAATTATTTTCCTTTGTAATATCGAAACATTTAGTGGAACCAGTTGGTTTGCCATCACAGTTCTTGCTCACTGGCATTCGCAAATCTGCGGCGGAAAAACGTGGCTGACTATCCACCTCTTAGTTGTTAAAGATGTGGCTACGCATCATTTCTCATAGTCCCAGATGTGCCATGCCATCAGTCTTAGCTGCCAGAAGCTCAAGACCTCAAATTGTGTCGATTTCCATCCACCGAGGAATCACCAGAGAATTCTCCAAAACCTGCGAAGACACGTCCGATGGTCTATCTCTAAGGAGGGCGAAACCAATTGAGGTCGAAAACAATTTTCAAAGCTTGGACGACCTTGATTCCGCTCGTGCGTCGCATCAGAAGAAGACGGTGGAAACCAGTCCAGAGATGGCGATCTACCGCGTAGCCAACGATTCAAGCCGTGTTGTAGCAAAGAAAAAGGGCATCCGGGATATCAGCCATGGGGTCCAACAAGCGTCCGACGCACACCACCAACTGTTTACGAAGTTCCTAGACCAGCTTGACAATGATGGTTACAGGGCGTATGCGGAACCGTCGCCCTATAGCGCAAAACAGAGAATCCCAGCACTGGACACAAATCCCGAGTCCAAGTCGATGCAGAATGTTCCCGGGATTGACCCAAATGGTGACGAACGAGTTCAAAATTCTGCAGACAGCCTGCACCAGAAAGATTTCCCTGTGTCACTTGAGGAACACGCTCTCATAAATACTAATAGCCCTGTTATACAAGAAACAAGCAACACAAGTGCGACGGTCAATCAAGAAATGGAGCTGCTGCCAAAAATTGAGCAAACTATTAGCATTTGCCTACAACTTGATGAGAGAGTCACGAACGAGTTGGATAGAATGGTGGCTAAATTTTCCCAATATACCCCAATCATGAACAATGGCCGAGCGAACGTTGCTGTTGTAAAGGGTCTACCGGTGCAACATTGGAGACAATACCAAATATTCATGCGATTTCTGCAATTCTGGAGGTCGCCCTTTTACATGGGTCGAGTGAAGCCTCTCATGACACGCCTTGGGCGTTATTGGGAAGTTTCTTGGCAAATAGAGGACTCTCCCGAGATCCTAGCCATCCGTCGAACGTTCCGTCAGGTAACTGAGGACGATCTTCCGCAATATAATTTTACCTCTGACACTTCTTGGGAAGCGAAAGCCGTTGTAACTCGAGGCCTCAGCCGAACTCAGGCGGGGGAAATCGTTGATGCAATCAATGCAAGATGGCCGGATGGGATTGACCTCGGTCTAATCACGCGGTGTGTTTTAATTCATACTATTTTCAGTCATGGCAAGATTCGCACAACAGTCACTAAATCACCCGAATTTCCCTTAATGGGTATAAAACTCAATCAATTATCTCACGATACCAAAAAACGCAAAGAAATCGAAAGCCTATGGAATCGAACAATGTCACAGATTGACACCACATTTTACAAGGCCAGTAAACCAAATAAATTTTACATGACGGCACCTATGAAGAGGAAGTACGAATGAAATCCCATTCGAATCTATTAAATCATTAATTGACATCTCCTATTTTATCACTGTTGAGCTCTACTAAAGTCACGACTGCTACCACTAACACTTTCGTAATCCGCATACCTCATGTCGTTGCTGCAATGACATGCTCTCAAGTGACAGACAGTAATGATTGAGAACAGGCCAGCTAGTTGATACTAATTTTCAAGTCTAACATGGGCATCATTGTATACATCATCCTGGCTTCAAGCTAGAATGAGGTATGCCACCATTTTTCTTACGTCGGTGGTGCTTCGTAGAGATATCCATTTTGAAGCGGACTGAAATAGTAGCGTTCCAAGCTATGAACGATGACAAGGGACTAGCCTTTCCCCAACAATAAATAAACATCATTCTCATACTAGTTGATTAGGGCCGACCGCGCTGATATATCTCCAGTGAGCATCCCTCTTAACTACGCTGCCGCACATATGTGACTTCTTTCATCAAAATGCCCTTGTGCATTATTACAATAGCCCCATTCCAAAAGCGGTAGCTTTGTTTCTAGCCTCCTCTTTGTTGGTGCAATCCAGATCAATCACAATTGGCGATTAGTTTATATGTACAAGCTTCTAAAATTCTTTGTCGCCAAATTGAGGTTTTGAAATCTAAAACCTCGAGTTAACTTTCCATTTCGTTTATTTCATTTAAATACATGCATTGCCAAAATCATGGACCCAGATGATACCAAAGGATCAGAATGGATGCAATCCGAACGCTTTCATCATTATGATGCTCATGAGGAAGTCCGTACTCTGAGCCAAACTGTTGTCGAACAGAGGGATAATTTAATAGAATATACCAAGGGGCTCGAGCAACAACTGCTACCTCGATACGAAATAAATGGTACAAACCCCGCAGCGATATTCGTTTTCCAGAAGAACGCATCCCTTGAGCGCGTCAAATATATCGAAAAAGCTATGGCCGAGTCTGAAAGGGCACATTCTCATAGAGCTCAGGAATGGCAGCGTGAGAGAAACGAATTACATCAACTAATTCATGGAAAAAATGGGTTTAGGGACCAATTGCAAAGTGCGCACGTCGCGCTAGAAATTGCGAATAGCACTCTGCCTTCCGGTACTGTGAGATATGCCAGTGAGTTACCGGACATAGCACAAGTAACAAGAGAGAAGGATGAATTCCAGTACAAGGTAGATAGGTTGGAAGGACGTATCAAAGAGTTACACTCCCAATGGAACGCTGCTCTGAAAGAGGTCGAAGCGTTAAGAGAGCAAAAGATGAAATGGACAAAGGTACAAGATAATTCAATTGCTTTGCAGGAAGCTAATTGGGAAATTGAACGATTACGGAGGGCAAATCAGAGTGAAGATTCTTACCATATGCAGGCATCGCACCGAGAGGTTTTCCGATTGCAACAGGAAAAGGTTGTGTGGGAAGAAGAGGAAATGAGTTTGGAGAGTCACACTGTAGATTTAGCACTACGAATAAGAACTCTGGAGGATTTGGCAGCCGCGTTGGAGGCTCAACAGTCTTCCCCAAATGTACAAATAGCCGACGTAGATGGCGATGGCGGAACACCCTCATCACGAGCAAAGGTGCTTGGAGATGCTGTTTGGAGGCAGTGGTCGGATAGAATATGTCGCCATATTCAGATGCAGCCTCAAGAAGTAGATGATTTATATCATCTGGCCGCAGCAAACCTGTACCGGCCTGGTGGAGACTTACCTGATTCAGACCCAAGCCCTGAGAGTGCACGTCAACAATTTCCAGGTGTGACATGGGTCAAGGAATTAGTTGAACTAGCTCGTGATCGACCAGTAGCTCCATCGGTACCAGAAATCACCTGGAAAAAATGGGCGGATAACCTTCAAGACTTCGTTCTAACTGAACCCAATGAGGTATCTACACTCTACGGGTTGGCTGAGAGAGGGCAGTGCATAGCTGGTGCAGAATGGATTCGTCAACTCATTGCGTATGCCGCCAAATTACCTACCTCTCCAGATTATCCCGGTACTCTGAAAGAATATCAACTCGGCGTCCAAATCAAAGAAGCTAAAGCGAGAATCGAAGAGCTGGAAAATCTTGGCACAGATAGGGAACAAATGGATGAGGAAATGGAGATTTCAAGAATCAGCAAGCAAGTACTTGAAGAGGCGTTTGAAACAGCAAACAGGAGGGTTGAGGAACTTGAAAATGAGATGGAAACAATGTTAGGGCCGTTTGAAGATGAAATAGAACAATTGACAAGGAAACTCGAAGAATCATATCAGCAACAAAATCTTTTTAAGAATTTGTATGAATCAGGAGATACACATAGAGAAGCACTAGATGAAATTGAACATTTAAAGAAAGACCTCAGGACCGCGGATGAACGGGGAACTCGGTTTGCTGGGCTCTATGAGAAAGGGAAGCTACTTTCAGATGAGCATGAGAAAATTTGGCAACAGAAGTTTAATATAGAAGTCGCTGGTGCGGATAAACATGCAGCTGGCTTGGTCGAGGAAGCAGAGACTTTGCAGGGAAGATTGAATGGGGCACATGGTGTTATTGCCGAGTTGGAAAGGAAAATTGAAAAACTGAGAAAAGAGAACGCGTATAGGAATACTGGAGATAGTGGATCAGAAGAAATTGTAGATGGGATGTCATCAGAAGGAAGCCGACAAAATACACCCGATAGCCATGAAATTGGCGAGTCTGAAGAAGAGGAGCAAGAAGAGTCTGCGGAACTCAAAACTGCAAGAATAGATCTCTACAATACTCTGAAAGAAGTCGAGGGACTTAAACTCAAACTCGGATTTGCAGATCGTGCTTTCAATGATATGAGAGATGAGTTTGAAAGGAAAATCGCTACGGTGAAGGATAATGCTAAGGAATATATGACGGAAAAGGAACGAATGGCGGAGAAATTGAGGCTTGCAGAAGAGAAATTCAAAAGAGGAATTGCGGCTGAGGTTAGGAGATTAGAAAGGGAAGGTCTTCTAGAATTAGCAATTTCGGAGAGTCAACCAGAGGCGGATATTATGGGTACGGGAAAAACCAAAGGCAAAGGAAGAAAACGTGCACCCGCAGTACCGAAAGCCAAAAAGCAAGTTACCAAAACAGAAGAGGATGAAAGTCCTCCGATTACTCCGCTGGAAAGTCCACTCGAAAGTCCGGATATCTTGATGAAAGATGACGAGGAATATAAGGGTCCAAAACTTGGTAAAAGGGCGAAGAATACCAAGCAGAGGGATGAGGTGTCGGAGGTTGAGAATGATGGTGGGGTGGGTGCAAGGAGGAGTACGAGGGCGACGAGGAATACGAAGCCTGTTTATACGGAGGTGCCGTTGAAGGTGCTTTTGGGGAAGGAGAAGCGTGTGGGGAGGAAGAGGAAGGTGGATGATGTGATGCAGGGAGTGCAGGTGGTGGAGGGTGGTGAAAGTGGTGGGAGTGTTGAGGGTGAGGGCGGAAGTGGAAGTGGGGAGAGAGAGGAACTTAAGAGGAGGGGTAGTAAGATGGTTTAGTATATTGTAATGCTTCCTTGGAGTCCTTGATATTCTTCGTAGCTTGTAAAATCATAGTTTGTAAAATGACTGTGTAAAATGATTTTGTACTATCTACATATGAATTTGAAAGAGGGAAAGAAGAGAGAAAGAACATAGTAAATAAATAAATACAGGGAATTAGAAAATTATCTATTAAGTCATTCGTTAGATGTTCGTCTAAATGATCTTGCAATCTCGACGTAATCTTATAAAAGACTGATTTTCTTCTAAGTTAACGTTCAGTAATAAATTAGTTAAGTATTAATTTAGATCTTATATAGAGTTCTTGTGACAGAGGTAGCTAATATAATGAAGAAATTACAAATGCTAAGGAGAATAGCGAAAAATCGATTGCTTGATTGTTGGTGATATATAATTGATCTGATGAGGACTGGGTATAGTATAATATTTGCAGTATGTATAAAAAATTGATAATTCGGTAGGTAACGAAGGGAGATTTGAAATTTTTACAGACTGGTTGGTGACAGAAGATTAGAATGTCTCCAACGTCCCCTCCATAACCTTAACTGCTTCACCACTCAACAATACCTCCTCAACAGCGCCCCCATCACTTCTCATCCTCACATCCACAAAAATATCATTTCTCCTCCCCATCTCAACTCCCTGCACAAACCCAAATCTTTTTTCTAAACCTCCATTCCCATTCCCCTCTACTGTTCCAACCCCCTTCCCCTCCCCTCCCACCCCCCTCAAACCCAACCAACACGCCAAAGCACAACTCGCACTCCCCGTCCCCGGATCCTCCATTCCCGCAAACATCCTCGTCCTAAACATCTCTCTCCCTCCCTCTTTCCCCACACCCACAAAATACATCGTACAACAAAGACCACTCCCCCAGCCCTCATCCAAAAGCCCCGTATAATAAGAATCTCTATTAAGATTCCCAAATTCCTGTACCCTTTCAAGATCTTCCAACGAAGAGAGATGAACGAGGATAAAACTCATACCGTTTACGATCGAGATGATTGGACATTGGGTTTCGTGTCCTGTGGTGAAGTCTTTGAAAGGGTGTGTTGTGGTGTGGATGTGTATGTTGTGGGGGATTTGCGCTGTGGTTGTTTTTCCTTTTCCATTATTATCAGGAAATGAGAGAGGGATTCTCCCGGCTTTGGTAATTAATGCCTCGACACTCTTCAATCCTAGATAATTGCGAATATAAAAAGCAGTACCTATAGTAGGATGACCGGCGAAAGGAATCTCCGCATCGGTAGTAAATATATCGATTTTTATTTCCTTAGGGTTTGACTTTGGATCGGTGGTTTCTTCCCGAGGGAGATGAAGAAAGACCACTTCCGAAAGATTAAACTCTTTAGCGATTTGAAGTTTTTGTATCTGAGAGAGGGAATTAGGGGTCGGAGGACGAATGATAGCGAGAGGATTACCGAGATAGCGGGTTGAGGTGAAGACGTCAAGGGTGGTAAAGGGGATGTGCATTTTGGATTGGATTGGATTATTGAAGGCTGAGAAGTTATTTCTGTCCCGTTCCGTAATAAAGATACTGATCCTAGAAAAGTAATAACCGCAACAAACAATAATAGATTTTCTCTACTATAATACAAGTCTTTTCCTTCAGTACTTCATCTCACTACGAGTATAAATACTCGAAATAACATTAAAGTCGCTTATTATGACTGTAACCTTACTTAGGTACTTAGATCAATTCTGACTCATAATTAGATAAAAAGTCTCCATTAACCTTATAAATTGTTTCTAGACTTCGATTTCGAATTCGTATTTGCATGAAATGAAGCTAACGATGTAATCTTAGGTCAAAAGTGGTCTGATTTCTAACCTTAATGCTATTCAATAAAAAGCATCGAAGAGATGTCAAGACCTCGGGAGGAATGGATGATGAATACTTTGAAGAGGTTGATGAAAATGCGAAGCGGGGTAACTACTCCGTGCACGTGATAGCGTTAATAAAAGGCGTGATGCCAACAATTCTCACATGCAAGTCCGCTTGAATCTTTAAACTCAGCTTGTACTTTTCGATCAAAAAGGTTGTATTATAAGAAGACACTACCATAATTTTATTCAATATTAACTTTACTCTTATATACAACCCCTAAAACCAACCGACCCATCAATCAAAAACACCAGGTATCATATCAAATCAAATCATCCTATCCTAACCCACCCAACTCCCAACACGAATCTAAACAATTTTCTCAGCCTCGACTTCATGTCCCACTTCCTCATTCGAATTAACACTCTTATTTGCACCCGCAGTATATCTAGCCAAAGCGGGATCATAATTAGGAGTTCCAGGAACTTCACCTGCCAACTCTTCAAGAGTTTTTCTCTTGGTTTCAGGAATGAGGAAAGTGGTTAATAATCCCAAGAACATGAATAATGCAAAGATTTGCATGACATGGTTTAACCAAGGACTAGCTGCGGCACCGGTAGCACCTTTCACAGCACCTCTTGTTCTGAGTGGTCCGAAAACAACTTGTGCGATGATGGCACCTATTTTTCCGGAAGCGGCAGAGATACCGTGAGATGTAGATCTGTAGCGGGTTGGGAAACATTCACCTGGAACGATGAAAGTGGTGGAGTTAGGACCAAAGTTGAAGAAGAATTGGGCGACCACGTAAAGGGCTAGGAGGGCATGACCAGAAAGTTTGTGGTAAGCGAATCCTATGATGATGAAAAGTATAGTAAGGATTGTGAAACCCATGAATTGAATTGGTTTACGGCCGAGAGTGTCGATTGTGGCGACAGATACCCAGTATCCTGGAATAGCACCAGCGCAAACGAGAATGAGGTTACCGACGGCGGTTTTGTAAAAGACCTCATACATGTTGTGGCCACCAGACCAACCAATGGCAGAAAGGATGACGGAGTTGTTGAGACTGAGTCCGTAATAGGCGACATCAAGGAAAAACCATGAACCGGCTGTACCGAGAAGGATCTTGCCGAATCTCCATTGCTTGTAGTGAGCGATAAAGTCTGCCCAACTAGCCTTTGGGATTTCGAGCTCTTGGGAGCTTTGATTGATGGTGGTAACGCGAGTGATTTCATCTGGTTCACCGTGACTCTTTCCTTGCTTGTAGGCTTGAACGTCCTCGCTAGCTTGCTCAACATCACGGGCAACATCGAAGGTGTATCGAGGGGTTTCAGGAATGGTTAAACGATAGTAGAGAGCAATGCAACCTGGGACAGCACCAAAACCGCTATTGTTTGTTAGCGATATGACGTTGGAAGGAGCTGTTATAACTTACATGATAACACGCCACATCTTATCAACAGCGAGTTGACAAACGCCAGTGCAGGTTGATGCTTTAGAACCAGTCAAGAGTGACTCTTTGAAACCCTCAGTGACAATTAAAGCAAGGATAGCAGCAGCAAATTGACCAATACCCTGCATGGCAAAAACTGCGTTCATCATGGCTCCTCTCCATTTAGTGGTAGCGAATTCGGAAGTGATGACACTTGACAAAGGATAATCTCCACCAATACCGATACCCTGGTTCATGTGAGTATGTGATGCGGATACAAGAAAGCAACTGTTTACTTACCATCAAGACACGCCAGAAGATGAATAGACCAACAATGGAAATAGCATGTGATGGAGAAGAAAGGGCTTGAGCGAGAGTAGCAAAGATGATAATCATCAACTCAAGACCATACATCTTCTTACGACCAACAACATCTGCAAGCCATCCGAAACCGAGTTGACCAATAACAGTTCCACCAGAAGTGGCAACCTTAATAGCAGTATCACTGGTTGTTGGAATTGCACCTTTTGAAACACTGTTCTGGAAAAATGCTATACCCAACATGGAAGTGACCAAGTTAATGGCAAATATCTAAGCCATAATTAGCGATGCGCCTCTGTTACTTTGTGATCGAATAGATACTTACATCGTAGGAATCAGTAAAGAAACCAATACCTGCGACAACACAGGCACGGACGTGATACCATCCAAATGGAGCTCTATCAATCTCGGCAAGAGCAAGACGTCTTCTCTCATTGGCGTCTGTGATATGAGCGAAGTCATTGTTGAAGTTGTGGAAGGCAGAGTTTCCTCCTACGGTGGTATGTAGGGCAGCCATTGCGACAAATTGTAAAGGAGTAGTACCTTTTCAAATGAAGTATATAGTGAAAATTGGTTGCGAGTGCTTGACTGAGGAAAAGAGTGAGAAAGAAGGGAACACAAGTATCCTTATATTTCTCCCTAGGTATTCCTATGCTTGCTTACTGCAGAGAACCAAGCTTCAGTGTAAAATCAATGGTGGGTTCCATTAGGCAAGGAGCTCCGAGTCCAAAAGTCTGGGCATCCAAGAATGATATTCACTAGATCAAATGTAATTCTAGCAGGCGCCCCAGTTCCCGGGTCGCCAAGAATATATTCTCAGCAGTAAATGTACATCAGACCATTCAAGTTGGATTATTGATATGGTAACCCCGAGCAGAGAGCAAAAATCATTGCGAAACAACTTCCATTGGCTTCAGACTTTGCTATTTTGTAGCATGAAAATGTCTGAGATTTGAGATTTTTGGCAGCCATTGACTGGGTATCTATCAAATCATAGAGTTCACCCATTGAAGATTGAAACTATGACTTTTTTCCTGATAGCTCTAGACGAGCAGATGGGGAATCTTAGCTTAAAAGACCAGGCATTCCTTAGATGATTTCCGTGTTTAGCGCAGGATGAATTTGTAACCCTATGTTTCCGCCAAGTCCTTTCATTCGATAAAACCAATCATCTCCCCCAGATGTCGCACGCAGTTTCCCCATATGTTGCATTCATTGGCTGAGATTCATTCTGCAAGTTCAAATTTGATGCGTGCATGTATGTTTTGGACATTACGATATCCAGCTCTCAGAGGAAATCGAATTTAACCAAAGAAGCTCCAAATCCGGAAGGTGCAAACACGTGGAGCGATGAATCAATCAGGATTGAAAGCCTTCTAGAACAATTTGATCTTCGTGAAGTCAATGAACCTGCAGTCTGCAGCCCTGGCTGGACCCACGATACAAAGCACGAAGAGTAAGTAAGATTACTGCAATTCTCTCTATCTAACGACAGTAGCACGAAGCAAACCCTACTTGTGCATAAAGTTCCCTATACTGCAATAACGCACGCGACATGACTGAAAGATACATTCCTTTCTCTATCAATTGCGAAGAGCCAAATATCTTATTCCAGTGAAGCATTATTGCTTATGAGGCGAACATTCTGATCAAAGTTGTTGCAATATTCTTGATATTCTTGGCTGAAGTTGTGGAGGTCCAATGAAAACTAGGGAAATAACAACGTGCTCACTAAAAACGCCTTGGATGCGCTAAACCAACACCGGAATTCTAGCCCGACAGCCACCAACAAGGACAGACAGGAACAATTTAATACACAACCAACAAGTCGTTGAACTGTTATCTTGTCGATGCCCAGTAAACAAGGATTTTGAAATTGCTTGATTTGGAAGTTTTTGTTTGAAAAGTTTCCGAAAAATTCAAAAACTTAAAAGAGGCTGGATGAGAGAGATAATCTTAATATGGATTTTGGTGCTTTTTAACCTTACCCAGGCACATGCTGGATGGGAAAATCGTAAGATTACAACAAATACAATGCTAATAAGCATCCAACCAAACCCGAAGAGCTATTAGATATTCAAATTTGGATTTGGATATCGAGAGTCCTGCTCATCTGGGATTGGCGCAAATAAGATTGAAAACTCATTTGAATATCAAATCCGAATGAGGAGATTGAGAGTGCTAGAGCTATTAAGCCTAGTCCGATTTGGATGTGCATTTTATTTCGTCCATCGTCCGTCAAGCGCAGAATTCTGTGAGGTTGAACAAATATGGCCTGTCTCTCTTAGGTCCTCCCGTTTCCCGTTTTACTTCGTCACTCCAAAACTTAATGATCTGCGAGCATCGTCTCTATTAATTCATCTTAGCATGAATCTTTCTTCTTGTCCTTTGTCATTCCTCCCTCCTCATAGCATTCAATCACACGCTTCGAGAAAGTCATGTGCACCACCTATCAGCATCTGTCTCGCAAACGGAAGTTCTCCTCAAAGGTGCGATGGCATCGTCGACTATAGCATTCTTCGACGATATTCGAAGCAGGTTCAAGTGTTCAAATCTCATGATCGATTAGTCCCTCAGATACCTTATCCAGTCATTTACGGAGAATCCGCCATCCATTCTACCTTCAGCTTGTCCAAATACCACGTACACAATGCGAAGACGAGTCCCATTTTAACGGTCATCATCATCCTGGGCTCCAGTGACAGGATCATGAACAGCAATTCTCGAGGCATGCCAATTACTTGGACAAGGATAAAGGCCAAATGAGCTCGTTATTTACTGGACCTTGGCCTCGAAAAATATCCATTGCGTGGCACAGAATATCTCCGGTTCATTTTCTCCAAATAAGGTGTATCTCATTGGAGTTTCCGTTCCAAGTCGAAGTTGGCTATATTGGAGAAACTGCGAGTGCATTCTTCGTTTTGAGAGGCTTTATGCGAGGGTCTCCCGAGACTCGGAGGAAATTGTCTGGCATGCAGTTAATCGTCTCGTGGATCACCCCTTCATGCGGGCAATTTGGCCCACACACTATCACGAAAGCTTTATCTGACTTCCGCGACCGAATGCAGGCTGATTGCTCCCTATTCATGAATGAATGTAGCAAACATATAAAAGCGTCTTGAACCATATTATTGCGTTGTTGCCATTAAAAGGAGCAGGTGTGAGAAACATCCTTTAGAAATAGACGCTCTTCCCAAATCTCCGCTTTCTCATGATTTTAGCCACCTCGAAGATCTTACTCAAATTAGGACTTTAAGCCGGAGCTTATTCCTCTGTATTTTTCGGTGTATATATATCAAACATGATCCTACTTGAACATGCTCAAGCAGATATACAAAACATCATAAGCATCCTCGGTATTTGAGCGCAGAGAGGTTGTGATCTCAAGTAGTTCTCAGGTCTTGGGAAATGCAGTGTTGAACGCCTCTGGACTGACTGTGTAATTTGTCTTGATTATTTGTGTATTGGTGTTTTTTTTACTGTTATAAACATAATGTAAGTCTTAATTGTCACCCGGCCAGAATATTAGACCATTTTTGCTGTCCTCACTGTTCCTGCTGTTGTGACGAGTAACACATTGTCATGTTCGAGAGTGTAAGAACCCACGCCAACTATCCTTCTCAACATTACACATACAAGATCAACGCAGCATTATTCATATATCCCTCATTCTCATAGATGAATTTCTCAAAATCCCGGATTCCAAATTTACTTCACTTTTGTGTGTGTCTATATGTGTATGTGTGTATTTGTAAAAAGATTCAAGGCCTTCTTATAGATTGTACTATCTTTTCTATATTAGTAGAAGTCTCATCGTTTGATATCAGTGGTTAAACTGAGAAATTCGCACCATTTGTGGATAGTAGTGGATGAATAATGTATCTAAAAATCACCTACTAGTGTAAAATTCATAAAATACTATAAAAGTCTAATTAGTACCCCTTTTTTAGACCACCTCTCTTTTGGGTCATCTTTTTATATCAAAGATAACGATTTTCATTTATCAATGATTCAACAACTAATAGATTGTGACGGAAATCCCTGCTTTCCTCCCACCCTTATTATATAAGAAACCTCAGGTACATTAACCATGTCCACACATGATACGATTACTCGAGATTAGTATGCGATTTAGGTGACCTGAGGATCAGATCCGGACAAGTACTAGGTATCAATGGTTATCGGTAAAGTAAGATCATTGGAGGAATAAATATGACTTCTTTTTGCCTAGCCATTGCGGCTAGGCCATTCATTTGTGTATATATAGAGTAGCTATCCCCATCTACAGGTGCTCTTCACCTGTAGATTCTAAGTTAAATACAATTGCTGGTCTATAAACACCCTTTTGGTCACATAGATGAAATCAATTGAAATTTTAATTTTAAATTTATTCTTTATATAATAAATAAATATTAAAAATTTAAGATTTTTTACAATTTAATTAATTAAAATATTAAAAATTGTAGTTGTAGTTTTCACTGGCAATTGATTTTATTTATTTATTATTAAATTTTTAATATAAAAAATAATCTAAATTAAAGATGATCTGAAAGTAATATAATAGACTTGATCTACTTATAATAACAAATAAAAAACCCCCTTTATCTCTTGAGAGTATCAATGAAAGATTCTAATCTTTTCCATGTTCACACTAATCAAATCAAATATATTCACCCATATATATAGCACCCCTTCATAAAAAAACCTCACATGAAGCTGTCAAGAAATTTACGAAAGAGAGTTTGATTACGCTGAGTCTGTTTCTATTATAGAATGACCCAATGGAAATGAACAAACGATATGCTTGCTCATTGATGTAAGTCTTCTTTGATGCTACTTCTTTCTAGGATCATCCGGATAACTACAATGATCCATAACAGCCCCTCCAGTGTGCAATTTCCTACTAGAGTCATCGTAATTATTCAAAATAATTACATTGCGAAAAGAAAACTAGACACTACCAATCCCAAGAAAACATACCCACAATCCCTCGATTTTCCTCCGAAGGGGAGTTCAAATCTTCTGATAAATTATCCACTTCAGGAACGAGCTCCGATTCTTTTGTTTTTCTGACTTCATCACGGTCTGGATCCGATTGACTATCGATATCTACAGGAGAACTACGATCTGACTTAAGCTGAGACGAATTTTCACGAGTAAACTCGGACGTAATTTCGCAACTTTCAACACTTGAGATGCGGGTCGAATCATATTCAGTCGAGTATGAAGTTTCTGAGGAATAGTTATCGTCGTCTATGGCAAGTTTCCTCGAGATATCATCATCTGCCATCGCATAACAGAATAGGTGTGATAGACCAATACGTCTAAAACCCAAGGCTTTCCAAAAGGCTATCACGCCTTCCCTTTCTTCAGATCCCGTCTCGGTTTCTTTGTCCTTTCCATATCCCCAATGTGTGAAAACCCACTGGATATTTCGAATTTTTAGTTGTTGAAGGAGTTGAGATATCGTGGATGTCCCGAGACCCATTCGACGATAAGCTTTTGCGACTTCGACATTTTCGATCATGAGAAAATCACCCTCGTCCAATCGAGAATCCCAAATTTGCGAGCCTTTGCGAGCCCCACAAATCCAAGTTTTTCGCAGTTTGGCCTGTTCATCAAATAGTGTGTTCGTTAGTAAAATGCTGGTTTCGGTACATATGTGGTCCATTGTCTTTTCAAACCCTGAGCGAACAGCATTAACACGATAGACTAGGTTGCCGATCATTTTACAAACAACGCCGTGGTCCGTTTGGCCCTTAACTATTACTTCTTCAGAAGCAAGTAGTCCATCTGGTTCGTAAAGGTCGTAAATGTCGCATGAGATAGAAAGAGAGGAATCCATTTTGTGAGCTGTTATATCATCGTTGTGTTGATAAAGTGATGTTGAAAATGGAAGAAAATTTAGAAACAGTACACACCTAAAATTTGAGTTCTGAATGCAATCAAGTGGCTTCTAGATTAGGTAGCTTTCGACTACCTTTTCGTCTAATGACAGAATACATTGGAGCTAAAAAGAAGTTTTTATGGTCGAAGGTATTCCGCAGATTGGGGACTGAAAATTTCTGCGTACTATTCCCCGGAGAAAGTAACCCAGAGCCATCCTGCCATGAGAGGCCTGAATGTTGAACTTTGTTTAGAAGAATGAAATAATAGAAGAGTTTTCTGCGACGAACCATCAAATATGCATAAAAGTCTCATTCCGAGTATAGTGAAACGATGATCTCGCCTTCCGTTGTATCTACTGGCTTGATTACACGCTGAGCGTTCTTGCTGTTTGTGTAGATTTTTCTGATCTTAAATTGATGCTATGCTTCCTTCCCCTTCTCATTGAACTGTGTGAAGAAGGAAGGTTTGACTTGAGCAAAGATGCTGATGAAATACCAGCTGTTGCGATTATTTGACATCGTACCTGTTTCCATATCGAACATCCGTACTTCTCAAAGCTATCCAACATAGAGCAGATATCATACTCAAAAACCGAACTTCTTTTAGCATTGCTGCCCAGTAAGGTTGTTCAGCTTCTCCTGCTGTTGTCCCCTGCATTGATGACGAGGCCCAAGCTAATATTAAGGAACCAATCATATAGTATGGCGCTTTGACCCCCTGCTACTTTGATTTGTGTCTGCCAATAAGAGGTATGATAAAGATCTAGATCTTTATCATCTCATGCATAGTGCGTTGACAACAGGAACGCAGGCACAGTGCATCAAATATGAATATGGGTCCTGTGAGCATGAACGCTGGATCCAAAAGCACGAAAGAGTGTTCCATGGGAGCTATTATGGGATGCGGTCTAAGAAGCAGATAGATATTGCCAAATCAAATTTCCAGATAAAACGTCTGCGACGGCAAATGTAAGTCACAGACCAAAATTTTGCAAGATTGAAGCCAATAATTCATTGTTTTGATTGGTGTCGACTGTAAATTGAAGCTCAAAATAAGAACTTTGGTGCCATGTATTTTCGATCGACCACAGTCAAGATGTACCAAACGATTGTATCCAAAAAGAACTCAAAAATAAATTGATGCTATCAAGAGCTCCTAGTCATTACAAATGAAAGGATCCGAGAATGGACTATTCAAGCTCCTCGCTCAATTGCCGAATTTGGTCGTTTCTGTTGAAAAGTGTATTCAGGTTTGACTAGACTTGAAACAATACACGTGGCATCGACACGATAGTTTGTAAACCTGCGTATGCGAGGTAAATCAGTTTGAATAGATGAGAGAATTTTAAAGTAAGAATTGACATGAGGAGTGGTGTGATTGGAGTAGCTCCGGAATCGGACGATGAGTTGGCTAAATGGTATGTGGCATGAGGAACACCACACCAGGTCAATCAACCGCTCATCGAGATAAAAATTGCTGAATTTGGTGAATGCTGAAATCGATGGAAATTTAGTAAATATATCCGTGGATAGAAATTTATTTCGAATTAGTCGAGGCTGTGTTATGTTAGACTTCTGTTAGACTCTTGTGGCACAAGCCTGATTTGGTTTTGCCAAGTTGAGTCAATTCTGTCGTCCACACTCTCGGAACATCCGGAGAGAGTTGCACCAGAGGACTCACTATTCCTGGATATTTTGAGACTTTTTCGAGTAAGAAAGTGGTGAAAACAGAAATTCCACCAAAAATTCCTGGGCTGTAGAATTGAAGCTGGGAGTGTTCTATGTTTTATGCTCGATGTCATGGCTGCCGCCTTGTGTATGTTTGCGAAACTCGGTAGCCTAGGGTGGCAATTTCAACAAATAGATTAAGATAATTCTATATGACTCATAATTTGGGGAAATCATTAATGATTTGAGTCTATTTCCATAAAAATTGATGAAAAAGCGTCGGAGTTATTTGAGAAGGTAGCTGACCTCTCGGTCGCAATCCAAAATAATCGCGAGTCGAAAAATACTCAACTTTCGTTTATGTCCATATTCGCAACAGGGACAACTCTGATTAAAAGTCTCAACATATACACTTGATAATATGTCAATTACCTATCTTCTGATATAAAATTCATAGCAATTGAAGCTGATTTGGTCAAATGTTGAAGGTTTATCAAAGATACGTAAAAAACATCGTGATGCTTCAAAAAAACAACAATGCCTCGACACAAAATTCAATCTGATGCACTGGCAACCACAACTAAAAACTTGAAATAAAAGTATCATTGATCTAATTATTTAAATGATGAAATCACTAATAACATTTAATAATGTATTTGGAAACGCGTTCCTTGAGTCTAATAGCAGATACAGCAAGATAAGTCAAATTCATCAAACTCGACGACTTGAATTTTATATCAATAGTTCATGAAAGCATC